AAATAAAATAAAATAATAATCTAGAAAAAGGAAATAAAAATGAAGAATGCTACAATCAAAAAAAAATATATTAAAGGCTCAAACGCAACTAAGGTTTCTGGAATTCCTCTTCTCCTGACTTAACTTTGCCTTCCTTCCCATTCTCCACTAATTATAATTCCATCTACTCTTTTATCTTAAAGAGCTTATTTATTCTCACAGTAAGAAGTACCAATTTTTAGAGATGATGTGTACTTTCCCTACTTTAAACCCAACATCCTTGCCCCACAATTCCAAGCCCAAATCTCTTGCTATCAAGAGGACACTCATGTGTTCTTTGTTTAAAGAACAAGTTCATCTTGTGAACAACCAATAAAAAAAATAAAAAATTTAAAAAAAAAAAAGAACAAGTTCATCACTGCCTCCCTATGCCTGATAATGGCATCAGCTGTCACCCATTCAAAATTTTCTGTCAACTGTCATTCAGTCTGTCTTCTCTTTCACTCCCCATTTCGAATGAAGTGTTCAGTCCTTTTTTAAAAATATTTCTTTCATCTGCCGCTGTCTTTCCATTTTCAACACATTAACCTATGTACACCATCACACAAAAAGGGGTATTACTAAGCTTTTCAGAGGTTTTACCACCACCACCTAATGAAACCTTATAAATCCACCTGGCAATAATCAATATTTCTGTGGAGGCTGTTAGAAATACCTGACCTAGTAATGTAACTATACACTGCCTAACACAAAGGCTGTACTCAAGGAATAAGAACTGATAAGACAAGAAACAAAGGCATAGTCACGTTGCACTCCTGGTTGTCAAAAGTTCTAAGCCAGCCAGGCACGATGGCACACACCTGTAAATCCCAGCAGCTCGTGAGGCTGAGGATTGCGAGTTCAAAGCCAGTCTCAGCAACTTAACAAGGCACTAAGCAACTCAGTGAGACCCTGTATCTAATAAAATAGTTTTTAAAAGGGCTGGGGATATGACTCAGTGGTTAAGTGTCCCTGGGTTCAATCCCTAGTACCCCCCACCCCAGAAAAAAGTTCTAAGCCATCCCACTGTGAACATTTTAAAAAAAAAATCATTAAAGGAGTTTCATTTAAACATTCAACAGTACATACTTCCACCTGCACAGTATAGAAACTTTTTTACAACTGCTACTTATTCCGGATGCATCTTTATTTAAAGACCGATTAAAATATTTATTTGGAATCTAGCCTATTTTTTTCTTAACTTGTAGAAATAAGTTCTCAGGATTATGTGTTTTTCATATTTAGTAGCAGTTTTCTCTCTCCTACCAATGATGCCCACCCCTAATTGATCCCAAATATGAACTAAAAGAAAAACTTCAACATAATCTTGCCATTCCTTTGATCATTGTCTGTCTTTACAGATGCAGAGAACTGTACCTCAAGTTCAACAAACTCACCTATAACTAGTATTTTTCTTCACCAAAACAGCATAAATCACTATGATTTGACTCAGTTAACTAATTGAGAGTACAATATACTGTCACTTCCCTTTGTAAAAGGATAACAAACTACCCTTCTTATTACTAATAATAAATGTATCTGAAACCTGAAGTTTAAGCGATTCTTCAGTAAAGTCTGTTAAGTTCACTTCAACACATAATTATATACAAAGCAAGGCTGAACCTTGCTTCCCTAGAAGAATGAAACTTGTATAAGCTTAACAAGGTTTACATTGGTTTCTATGACTAATTTTAGAAAACACAGACTCAAATCACAATTTTACCACCAGTGAGCTATGCCTTTTATCACAACACATTCAGACCTCATCTCCTCATCTCTAAGATGGAATGGGGTTGAAGCAGATAATATCGAAGGTTTTTATTAACTCTGTAGTTCTAGTAGACTCCAAGAAGGAAAGATCAGGAGGCTTCTAACTGATCTTTCTGCCTCTACCCTCTTCTTCCCAATTATCCTTCATACTACCATTAATAATTTTTCCCAAACTACTACAGAATAGTTTTCTGTTACTGTTACAAAAAACACCATACCACCAACTCAGTAGCTTTAAAGAACTCACATAGATATTAAAAGTCAGATGGCTAAAATGACTTTTACTGGACTAAAAACCAGGTTATTAGCAGGGCTATGTTCCTTCTGAAGTTTCTAGAGAGAAAAAGTGTTATCTGCTTTTTCCAGTTTCTAGAGGCTGTAATTCCTGGGCTTATGGTTCCTTTCTTCACCTTCAAATTCAGCAGTGTGGCATCTTCAAATCTCTGAAACTGACCCCAACTCTCTTCAAACCCTCTTTTTACTTATAAGAATCCCAATGATTGCAATGGATCACCAGGATAATCTTCCATCTTAAGATCCATAATTTAATTAATAAGAAGATCCTTTTACAGTATAAGGTAAATACATTCAGTTTCTGGGAATTAAGATGCGGACTATAAAATCCCTAGATGAAGACACAGGAGTCAATCTCTGTGAACTTGGTTTCTGCAAAGAACTCTTAGATAGGATACCAAAAGTATAAGTGATAAATAAATAATAATCTGGGCATTATCAAAATGGAAATTTTTTTAAATTTTTTTTTAGTTCTAGATGGACACAATATATTTATTTATGTGGTGCTGAGGATCGAACCCAGTGCCTCACATGTACAAGGCCGGTGCTCTACCACTGAGCTACAGCCCTAGTCAAAATGGAAACTTTTTGAACTTCAAAGAACATCACTAAGAAAGTAAAATGACAACCCATAGAACAGCACATTTTGCAAATCACAAACCACATAAGGAACTTGAGCCCAGACTATACAAAGAATCTTTACAACTCAATAATAAAAGACAATTCAATTTTTAAATGGGCAAGAAATCTGAATAGATATTTCTTTAAAGATATATAAATGACAAGCAAGCACATGAAAAAAGTGATCAAAATCATTAGCCATTTAGGTGATGCAAATCAAAACTACAATAAGATATCACTCCACACCCACCAACAGGGCTACAATCCAAAAGTCAGACAATAAAAACATTGGCAAAGATAGAAATGGAAAGTCTCATGCACTGCTGATGAGAATGTAAAATACAATAGCCATCATGGAAAACAGTTTGGCAATTTCTCAATATATTAAACAGAGTTATCATATAACTAAACAATTTTACTCTTAGTGTGTATACCCAAGTGTGTGGTTGTATTCCTATAAAACAACACTATTCATAACAACAAAAAGTGGAAAGGACTCGAATGAACAATAACTAGAATGGATAAACATAGATAGATACACATCAGATTATTCATCAATAAAAAATATCAACACAAGCTCTAAAATAGTTAAAACTTGAAAGCATGCTGTTAAAAAGAGAGTCTCAAAAGGTCACAGATAGTTGACTCCAACTACATGAAGTTTGTAGAATAGATAAATCAATAAAGATAAGTAAATAAGTGGTTGCTAAGCGCTGGGAGGAGTGGGAAGTGAACTACTAATGAGTATGACATTTCTTTGGGAGTGATAAAAATGTCCTAAAGTTAGATAATGATCATAATGGCACAAAGGGAAATGTAGACTGAGCATCCCTAATCTAAATAAAATCCAAAATGCTTTTCCAAAACACAAAACTTTTTGAGCACCAATATGATGCCACAGTAGAAAACTCCACACCTGAAAATGTCACACAAAATTATTTAAAATTAATTTGGGGTTGTGTGTCGAATATGTACATAAAACAAATTGATTTCATATTTAGACTTGGGTCCTAAGATAGCTCATTATATATACACAGATATTTCAAAATCAGAAAAAATTCAAAACATGAAACATTTCTGGTCCCAAGTATTTCAGACAAGGGATTCTCTACCTGTATATAAAAAGCCAATTAATTATACTTTTGAAAGGGAGAATATATGCTATGTGAATCAACAAAGATGCTCTAGAAAAACCTAAGGCATTCAATTCACATGAAAACTAACTGATGAACATATATCATTCCCAAGTAATCAGGAAAGAAAATAAATACATAAAATATTTTCTAAGAGCATGTATTTTTCTTTATATGTTAAAATTAACAAAATCAACTATGCATAAGAATTATATGAATGACTCATGTTGGAAAAAAATAACGACTGTAAACAGCAATGGTTAAAAATAATTAAATACATAATGAACAGCAGTTTTAAAATATACATCATCAATGACTCCTTGGTGGTCAAAAAACAAAATTCCCTCACCTTGTCTTCCTTTGGAACTAAGCTTCAACACTCTATAGTTATCCCACATGATTCCCCAACAGAAATTCAGCTGGAATTTACCCTACCACCACTCAACTAACACCACCCTTATTTGCCCATCTCCCTTTTGTCCTAAACAAATTAAGGAGATGTTTCAACCATCTAATTGGTCCTGATTCAAGGCCTGACTCAAATCCTATCACAAAACTTTTCTCACCCTCTCCAGAACATAGCAACCCAACTTCCTCTGGCCTCTCACAGCTCTGTCAGTAGCTCTAGATGGCTCCTCCCTAATAAGCACCTTTCCAGCCCCCCAATGAAGTCAATGCACTTACACTCCTTGTCCAGCCTCAACCTGTTAATTTATCCATTTCATCCTATAATTCACTCTCTTCAAGAATGGTGTGTCAGCTTTCACCCAGTCTTAAGGTAAACAACACTCTTGCCAATGACAGGGTGCCACCTAGCTGCAACACAAGGTAACTCACAATGGGAATGGGGAAAATCTCCATTTAAATTTTACAGAAACGTACAGCAATAAAAGAAAGAAGCCACAGTATAGTACTATTTGCAGGGCAATTTGTTTCATAGGTACATCTTATCACCCTGACTAGATTACCTCACAAGTCTTACAGGTATTATTTGTTCTCAGCTCAGTTTCATCATGTACTAGTCAATTTAGTATTTACTAAATCAAACTCAATTCCTGATGCATAAAAAATTATTTGGTAATCTCTATCACAAGAGTATGAGTTTATTACAAATAATGAACAACACAGATAAGTACAAAATGAAAAGAAATCACATTTACTCACATATAATGGAGCTTGTTGTGGATTAAGTTTCATTGCCCAGAACACTGAAACAGAAATTGAAGAAATAAATGAGAATTAAATTGGAAATGGTCACCAAAAATATAAAAATCACCCACAGCTCTAAGAGTACAATCCTATGTCTGAGGTTACTGTGTGTGTGTATATATGTGTGCGCGCGCATGCGTGTTCAGCTTTCCTTAGAGATTTGGGAAAAAGGAGGCTCAAGGATTACAGAATTCCTTGTATTCCAGCCACTTTTCAAGTGGGGAGAATGATTTTCTAATTGAAGAAGAAAGACAAAGGCTTGACTGTCACAGAAAACCATTGATCAGATATTTAAAGCATTTACCAAAGCAAAACCATTAAATGTTCATTTGTGCTTCTGTATAACCCACCAAACTCACAAAATGCTGCTCTACCCAAGATATCCCCCTAGTCCCACTAAGGAGTTTGGGGAAAGGGAAAGGAAGTAGCAAAAGACCACTAGAGTTCTTTTGCTCACTGCCATCTTCTCAGAGAAGATGCAGCTTGCCTTTAACAGGTAAAAACTCACCTTCCTCAAAATTAATAGCTGAATTCCTTAATTATTTGTCATTAAATGAATGCTCACAAAAATCTTATGAAGAACTTTACAGAAGATTCCCAATATTATATAACACATTTCTGAATATTAAGAATAGCATGTGGGATTTCAGAATGATAAACATCCTGAATGTGACTATAAGCTGATCTTCAGGGCACTCTTTCCTTCCAGCACACCTAAAGAAATCTACACTAAAAACCAATTTTAAGAAATGTAATAGTAACTAATTCTTTTAGTGGAAAATTTTAATTATATTTCAGATTCAAATAACAAACACTGATTAAAAAATGGCAGGATTGAGTAATTGCTCAATGTATTAAATATCCATTTAATTTAAAATTAACTCACTGTGCTCTCTGGCCTTTAATCAGCTTTCCCGGTCCTGTTCAGACTTGCTGAGATATGGGATTTAAAGAACCTATAAATTTATAAACTAATGTGTGTTGAATAACTTAAGAAGTGTTCCATCACAGGCAGAAGAAACTGATATGAAAATTAACACACTGGTAACCCACAAGAATTAGAGAAATCTATGGGTACAAACTAATGACTTTTCAGCCCTCTTATGCTCCATAATTTGCCAAGGAAACTTGGAATACTGTGTAAGGACCACAATATCAACTATCTGAGGGGCTCCCACTGCATACAGATGTGAACTGAGAGATGAGAGAGCTCAGAGGGCTCTAATGAAGAGCTGATGCCATCTGAACTGCTTGAACTATGTGTTTATCCAAATGTATTTCAAAGCCATAACCCATAACAAGTTGCTCTGATAAGAGGATTAAAGAGGGATGACAAAGTGTCTGTCCTCTCCCACTGGTCAAAGAGCCAGGTCATTGTGTTGTTGGCAACACAGGCTACTGAAAAGAATATATCTGTCAAAAGTAATAAAAGTAATGACCAGAAGGCTCCAGAAACAGATTGGTTTTAGACTTCTTCAATGATGACACATGAGGGGAAAGAGAACTAAATTTCATTGGGTTTTATACATGATATTGTATTCATTCTCCATAAAAAAAAAAAAAAGATCACTTTTCTCATTTCACTGGTGGGGGAGTCTTTTCAAAAATTAAACATATTTAACACAAAGAGCAAAAGGTAAATGGGAGAGCCTAAATTCAAACACTGTGTGATACCAATACATTTTTTTCTCCACATTGCCAGTTCTGATCAAGCCTTCCCAAAAAGAAAGCTAAAGAAATGTACTCTGTCCATGCAATGGTTTCAAGACAGAATGTTAGGAAAAAACCCTACAATTTCTTCCTTACCTAGAGAGCAATGAATGACTTAAAGCAAATTCACAAGTCCAATAGGGCTGTTTTCATGTTACAACCAATACATGAGAAATACTGACAATAAAGACTGCCTAGCACTTGAAAGACTAAGAAGAAATATCAAAATTAAAAGACTACACGACATGGTATTAAGTACGATCAACAAATCTACCACTCAACAGTAAAACCAGCTAGAGTTTTGAGCAGTCATAAATGTAAGGAGTGTGAAATAAACAGAAGCATAATAATTGTTTTTATTCTTTTTAAAAAAATAAGTTGTAGATAGACACAATATATTTATTTACTTTTATGTGGTGCTGAAGATTGAACCCAGTTCCTCACATGTGGAAGGCAAGCACTCTACCACTGAGCTATAGCCACAGCCTGTTTTTATTGTTTCCATATTTTCACTTTAAAATGTTGAAAGAAAACAAAATTTCACAGTTCAGTGTCATATAAAAGTGACAAAATCACTTTATGTCAAAATAATACTCTCCCAATTTTAATGCAACTGTCTCAATTATATAAATTGATGTTGTCCCCTAACACACATAAATCTCTTAAGGTACTTTAGAGAAGCAAAGGTTATGGGTACAAGTGTTCCTGCATTTTGATATAAACTATGGTCAGTCTTTTCTTCATAGGGTACAGTGAGGACACCATCATCAGAATGAACCAAAGATGGGCATACAATGCTTAAAAGATAAACAATAGCACAAGTTTTAGAATTTTTGAAATTCATGCTGTTCACAAAGGAGTATGCAGAAACTCAATCACCATACAGGACTACACAGAAACTCAGGCATGAAGTGATATGGCAGTATGACCTGATTCAGAGAGAAAGGGAGACAGAAAGCACCTCCACCAACCAATGTGCCTAAGCAAATGAATGCAAAATCTTAAAAGTTACAAAAGAAGCTACACCTAAATTAAATTTGGTGTCTATGGCAGTAGTCAGCCATCACTGTAAAAGGCTGAACAAATATTTTAGGCTTTGCAGGTTGTCTCTGTTACAACATATTTTTTTTAAATGAATATAGCTGCATTCTGATAAAACTACTTACAAAAAGAGGCAATATGCTGGAGTCAGCCAGCTGGTGACAGTATGCCAACCCTTAGTTAAAAACTAACAAAATACCTCTTAAGCTCAAGAAGGATTACATCCATATTCAACAGCTTTGTTATGTCTCAATGATGTTGTCAGCTAAAAAACACTCCTCAATACAGGAAAATTATAGGGTGCCGCACAACATTCTCTATACAAGAATCAGATTAATCCAGATTCATGGTGTGACTTTGAGAAAGTCACTTGACTGGTCTAAAACTCAGCCTCCTTATTTACAGAAACAGCCTAATTATTCCTGCCTACACTACAGTGTTGGTGGAAGAATCAAAAACACAATCCAAGTCCAGCACTTAAAGCACACTGCCAAGCACAGAGAAGCCACCACTTCTTTCTCTTGCAGTTTCTGAATGTCAACAGAGATAAACCATGAAAGACATCTAAAAACCATAAATGGCTAAATGAAACCCTTCAGGTACCCAGAGATATCTTTCTGATACAACCACAAAAAAAAGAATGTGGGGTAACAAATATTGAATTCTTAAGTGTATGTATCTCTGGGCAGTGCAGGGAAATTTCATTCCTAAATTATCAGCTTCTTAACTGTAACTATTCAAACAAACAGATATTACTTTTGCAAAACAGTAAGAAACATACACAGAGCAAAGTTCCCTGTCATTCAACATACCACAACTAATATGGATATGATTAAAAAGACATAGTTTCCTAAAAGTGCAAAACTGAAATCAAATAGACTACAGAATCCTTTAACAGGTGCTTCACCTATAATGAAATGTCTCTTAAAAGCTGGGCAGGGGGGCCAATATCATATCAGGTAATTAAACTATTAACTTTCTAGTGCCTGTTTAGCTGAGTGATATCTCATTTCTTAAGGACCAGCTGTCCCAGTCTGATAAACTTATCAACTCAATTGACATGGTTTTTATCATTCACAATAGGGAAGCTTCCAAATACATACAAATATATATACACACACACTCACATACACACACAAAGAGGGGTGTGTGCAAATCACCCCTCACATCTGCCCCAGTCCCAACAGGAAGGTATAGCTGTTTTAGTCTCACCCAAGTGTACACAGAAGATTTTTACCTTCCAAGTATTTCCATGGCAGAATATGTTTCAAATAAATCTCCCTGGCCAGGGACCTTGCTAAGACTGGGTTACACAGTCAATGACACTGTATGTTCTAGATTCTTGTAACAAGAGTCAATTTTCAGTTCTTGAGGAAAATAACAGGATCCAAAGAGTCTTTCCTTCAATTCTAAGGAATAGGTGCTGGAGGCTATAAGCCTGTTATATACTGGTTGAGGAAGTCAGGGAGGCTGGAGAGAGACATTCTGAACAAAGAAGAAAGAAGCAGGGCACACAGAGTAAATAGACTTTTCCTGTTGAAGATGCCAGGTTCTGCATAAAAAATATAAATACCACATGTACCAAATATATTTCCTAAATGAGATACTGAAGAAGTCTGACAGCACTCATGAATGCTTTTCTTCTGCTGTAGCTACGCTAATTAATAATTGTACAGTTAGCCTTAAACAGTGATTCTTGAACCTTAGTGTACTTGAGTATCAGTTGAAGGCCTTGTTAAGTAATGCAGATTCTTGCCCCCACAACCATAGAGACCAAATCAGACTAGATCTGATGATGTTTCTACTCTGGCCTATACTTTGGGAAACAATGATATTGAGGCCCACAACATGTGTCTTATTTTCATTTGGCAGATAGCATTGCTCTGCCCAACTATCACATGACACAAGACTTACTACCACCAAAAAAACAAAAGCAAAGACCTCATCACAAATGGGGGAGCCATAGCATATAGAGAGGACAGAAAGGAAATAGGGTTCAATAGGGTATTAATACTCCACAGGAAAACAAATGAACATAGCAAATTAAAACAAAAATCAAAACAGCAAACAAAAACACTAACTCCCACATTAACTCATCTAATTTATTCTTTAATCAATGCTAGATTATACAATAGGCAAAATGATAATGAATTTAGGGCAAACACACATACACACAAAGTAAATATTATGAAATTTTAAAAAGTTAGAATTCTTTCAATATAAAAAGTATTTTGAAAAATTAAATTTA